AAACAGCTCGTTCTAACACGCCCCCACATGTCTACGTCACTGTGTGGGAAGATTTGCATAACCCTGCCCAAATGTTCACGCAAAGAAAGAAGGTGTAACACTGATTCTCGCTGTAGAATTGTTGCCGCCGCCATGTCGTGGAGACGCTGTGTGTTTCGTTGTGAAAGCGAAACTACTTTGTACAACCCAAATATTCAGATGTGAGCAACGCATTTTACGGAGGACAAGGACTGTTTCCTGGGAGAGTAGACTACTGACTCACATAAGTACGTTTTCATTTAAAGGATTTGCCACTGATCATTCAAACGTGAGTTTTGGGCAGCCATATGACCCCTTTAACTTTTGTCGCTTGACTCGCATCGCTTGACAGGCCCACATTCTGTCGCCAACGGTCATTGTCGCTCGTGTCGCCGGAAGTCGCCAGCTCTCCACTGAAAATGAATGGGAGCATGTCGCTTTGTCGCTGTGTGTCGCTGGCAGTGTGAACGGGGCTATAGAAAGGCACTCGCCTTGACCCTTATTACTTGCTTTATTTAAATACACATAGACACCTGTAAGCAGACGGATCCTCTATGTCCTGCGCTGCTTTCTCCATCTCCAGCCCAACCTGTTTTCATGACAGAGTAAAGTGGTAGAGGGTTGAAACACACAAGTACGCAATTACCCACCCACAACTGAAAAAAAAAACTAACCCATGGAGAGGGCACTTTGGCATGTTTGAGTATGGCTTTCTGGAGCTCCTTCTCTGGCAAACAGCTGAAGGAGAAGATGTTGCCATCCTCTCCTGCAGTCAGATCAAATGCATCATCAAAGCTGAAGCTGATGTGGCACACTTGGCCATAGTGGTTGTCATGGATGCTGAGGGCCCAGTACACCTGCATGGAGCTGAGCTGATGGTCCGAGGCCTGTACAGGGTACACCCGAATACTACCATCCTTCATGCCACATAACAACAAATGCCTACTTGAACTAAGACAAGGAGAGTAAGAAATCAGATATGATAAAAATCAACTAATTATTGACTAAAAATATTGACTTGAAATTGAAATCAAACCAGGACACTAATTCCTGGCTCAGTCCTGGGCTATTAGTGTAGAGACAGAAAAATCTCACTTGAAGGTGATGGTGAGAATGGGTTTATGGTCTGCGTCATGCTCAGGTATGAAGGAAAAGGGCTCATCTTTCCTCTCTAATGGATCTTGGCTCTGCTTTTCAGGGAACTTACAGTGGTACAAATACCCTGAGTCATAGCCACCCTGAAAGAGAGAGAGGGAGGCATTTTAGTGACACATGTACAACCGTTAGTTACACTACCATTCAAAAGTTTGAGATCAGTAAGATTTTATAATGTTTTGAAAGAAGTCACCAAACATATATTTGATAAAAAAAATACATTAAAAACAGTAATAATGTTAAATATTATTACAATTTAAAATATCTGCTTTATATTTTAATATATTTTAAAATGCCATGTATTCCTGATTAATTCCAAACTTTTGAAATGTAATGTATGTCTGTGAGTGTATGTACCATAGACAGCCAGAATGACCCTGGTGTTGAGTAAAAGATGCAGTGTAGAGCACTGGGTGGAGATGAAATGTAAAGAGGAGGCAGTTCCTCTTCTTCCTCCTGTAGTTCCTCCTCTGTGGCCTCTGGCTTCTGCTCCTTCAATTTCTTCAAGCGTTTCTCCCTCTCTTTCTTCTCTTTTCTGGCCTGCCTGAGTGCTACCTCTGCATCTCTCTGAAAACAGACATATATCCATGTGCAGCAACATTACAGCAGCAGAACAATAAACAACATAGTCATTACAGACCATTGTGGTGATTTTAGTAATTGTGATTGTATCATCACAGTGCATATTAAGAAATCAATTGTATTAACATAAATGCAATAAATAGAATTAGAAAAATAAAAAACATAAACTGATAAAACTGATAAAACTATTATTTTATAAAAGGTTTTATTTTGAAATAACACATTTAAACAAAATAAAACAAAATAATTTTATAATTAAATTAAATTAAAAACAATACAAACTATAGGAGAAATAGAGAGAGAAAGTAAAAGAGAGAGTCAGCGGATAACCTTCATTTGGGACTTGATGCTGCTGAAGCAGAAATGCATTGTGGGAAGGTCTGAGAGCTAAAAAGGTGTTTCCACTAGTCTGAGCCCCAGGATCAAGACACTGAACTTCCACCACGTCACCAATTTGACAAAAGATCAACAGAGTGTTTTTCTCCTTTAAACACATACACAAACCTCCAGTTTCAATAAATCATATATGAAACGATCACCACAAGAACCTCAGCAAGCTTCACTTGCAAACAATCAACACTCACATGTGACTGAGGTGACCACTCCAGGCCTTAGAACCTGGGACAGTAACAAACCCTATTGCCCTATATCGTTCTCCCACCGTGAAGAAGAAGACAGTGCTGTCTGCACTCTAAAGAGTGAGAGAGCAAAATATCAAACACAGCAGAATATTGTGACACAAACCATGTTCACTCACTCAACCCCTACCCCAGTAGCCATGATCTTTCTAGTTCTCTCATACGTGATGGCGGTCACAGGTGCATTGTGGGGCTTGTGAGCTTGTCTAAGGCGGAGTTCAGCATCTCCAGAGCGTGTGCGTCCTACAACTGGGTGCAAACTCTGAGTGTTATACAGCTCCAAGAGACGTATCACACCATCATCAAAACCCACAACCAGCAGACCCCCGGCAGTGTTCACCTGCAGAGACACACACACACACCATCAGCAAACAATATGCAGACATATGGATGCACAAAATATTGGTACCATACTGGTCATCCTCCGATATTAGAGATTTTTGCATTTATCTGTATTGTTTGATATTGGATATTTATTTTTTATTTGATTAGATTTTTTACATTTAGATTACCTTTTAGAGTTCAGCTTTATTTCCATTACTGAAAACATTTGTAAAGTTTTAGTTTAAATTAAAAATAACAACACTGAAGAATTTAAAACAGTTGATTTTAATTTTTAGTGTTTTATTATTAATTTATTTAGACAAAATAGTATAGTGTTTTTATATTGGCCTTTTTTTTTTATCTGATATTAATTTACATTACCATGTCTGAAGCCCATGTGAGTGTTGTCCCTCCTTGTTTGAAGCGGCTTACTGTGAGCTCTTTCTTTGAAAGAAAGTCAAACACCCTGACTGAGGCTGGGTAAGATAAAAAGGCATTTGTCAATGTTTATAGAAGCACATCATAGGTCTGTGTATGTGGATGTATGTTTGATCAATGTTAAATTAGTTCTTACAGTCCAAGGCTGTAGTGGCCATGAGGTGGCTACTTTCAGAAACATCCATGCCCTGAATGGCACCAGCGTGAAATGAGAAGAGACACTCTGGGTTTTGGGTCCGCAAAACAGAAAACATGCTTATCTGGCCTACCGTGGAAAAACAAAAAAGATTAAGCACCTGTTTAACATGACTCACAATGTTGGAGAATGAGAGAGCCAGATTCCAAATATAGCCATTGGAGTCCTCTTAAAATCAAACACAAAAATATATGTATTCAGAC